TGGATTTATCTCTGGGCTTTCTATTCTGTTCCATTGATCTATATTTCTGTCTTTGTGCCGGTACCATACTGTCTTGATGACTGTGGCTTTGTAGTAGAGCCTGAAGTCAGGCAGGTTGATTCCTCCAGTTCCATTCTTCTTTCTCAAGATTGCTTTGGCTGCTTGAGGGTTTTTTGTATTTCCATAGAAATTGTGAAATTATTTGCTGTAGTTCCCTGAAAAATACCATTGGCAGCTTGACAGATATCCCACTGACTCTATAGATTGTACTTTTTATGCAGCTTCTGCCTCTTTCAACTCTGTGAACATCCAGGTTATTCTCTGGGCAATTTCTTTTTTTGCTCTCTGCTTCTTATATTTTCTTTCTCTTTCTTCTTGAGCCCTCTTCCCAGCTTTTTATAGTGTGAGCAGTTATCACTTTCTAGGCATACCCAGGGCCCATTTAGAAGATCTCAAGCCAAGTCTGTTGGAACTCTTTCAGAAGCATCAATAGAACGAATTAGGTCCCCGAAATTGCTATTTTGAAAGGTATTTGCTTGAGAGCATGAAACTAACTCTAAAGGTTTCAACAGATTTGTTAATTCACAAATAATTATTGAACATCTAGACATAGTCCCCGCTTGCAAAGAGCTCAAAATTTGCGAGGAGGAAACAAAATGGCAAAAAGGAAACAACAAATCATAACAAAAAGCCTTCAGTACAGTGTTGTTCTTACAAAGAGAAATAATAATATGGGCATAAAATCATTCAGAAAGGACAGGGAAGACTTCATTGAAAGGGGAATTTTTACCAAGCTCTTGAATGATAAATAAATGTTCTCTGGGGAAGGTGGGAGTGAGTATTGAAGGAAACATGTCCAAACTGGGAGGCATGGAAAAGTGTGGTAGATTTAGGAAAATTGCATATTCTTGGAACTAAGGGTGTGAGAAGTTACCCTGATTGCTGAATACGTAGTCAGGAATGCCAAACATGGAACTGAGGAATCCTGACTTTATCTCATTGGCGATAAGGAGCCATGAGAGTGTTAGTTGCAAAAAAGAAAGAAAGAAAGAAAGTGTTAGTTGCTTAGTCGTGTCTAACTCTTTGTGACCCTATGGACTGTATCCCACCAGGCTCCTCTGTCATAGGATTTTCCAGGCAAGAATACTGGAGTGCGTTGCCATACCCTCCTCCAGGGGATCTTCCCAGCCCAGGGATTGAACCCAGGTCTCCTGAACTGCAGGTAGGAGTCATAGAAAGGTATCAATAGGAATTAATAATCAGGTCTCTGTGCTTAAAATATTAATATAAATAATGTACTGCTGTGGACAAAACAAT